GAGAGAAAATAAGACAATATAAAGAGAATAGAATTGTATTGAATAGTGTAATTTGTTTACAAGAGAGGCATCCTATTTATAGTTTAACTTGATATGAATATTTTACTTTCTAATCAATGTGGGACTAACTAACATATACATTATGTATATATGTATATACATTAACAGTTTTAATCAATGATGAATGCATACTTTAGTATATAGAGTAGGGTGGTAGCGGGCTTTTGTTAGTTTAGAGACTTCTTTGTTGATTTTAACTGTATATTATATTCACCGAATAAGATTGACTCGACTATTGTGGAGATTCTTAATGTTGTTAAGCCCAAATCCTTGTTGATCTACAAATTTGTTTGTGTGCGTTCAATGAAATATATACTATCATTAACCAGTATCGACATCAATTCCTTGGGGTCCATGAATCAATGGTGTAGAGACATTTGGAACTTCGATCAACATAAATTAATTTAATAATTATCTTATTAAAGGCTATGTTTGTTTGACGCATAATTTATTGGTAAGTTACGTATTTCAGCTTTTTTGTCTAGAGAAATTATCATACTTCATTTTTGCATGAATCCAATATCGTAGTTTTTATTATTTTAATTATTAAACCAAGAATTAACTTGGAAATAGTAAATCATCACAGCAAAAGTGATATAATTTTTATGATTGTTGCATGTTTAAGGTTGTGGTCGATATGAATAATTTAGCTTTACTTCATTGAGCATACCCAGTTGGCAAAATGCGATCAGTGAGCTTTAATAAAAGTTTTAGAATTTTAGAGCATACTGTAATTTGAAGAAATTCAGAAATTTGTAAGAAACAACTTCATGAATAGGCTAAAATATTCGAAAACTTTATTTTTGAATCGTTCTTGCATGGATTATGAGCTTTAACCCTTCCATCTTGAGCAAACAATTTACCAAAATTATTCATTGTTGATGAAATAGTATGGTGAAATGGTTGTTTTGACAAAAAAATATTTAAGTTTAATTCGTAGGAGTATAATTAAATTTTATGAAATAGAAACAAAAAGAAAGAAAGAAAATAAAGAAAAGATGAATAATGAAATCCGAGATAAGTGATTAATACTTTTTCTTTAAGACAAAATTGTCACGCAACGGCGCTTATGGTTTATAGCACTTGTCTTCCAAAATATAAAGCACTTTAAACCACAAGTAACAACGAATTTGAACGAAATTTTTCCCTCTACAAGAAGATGATTTTGGAATGATTTTTTTGGAGAGTTTTTGCAAAAGTTTTTGATATAATGCTCAATGCAAATGATATGAGATGCATAATAGATATCAAAATGGTCATATTTAGAGGTGTCAATCCGGGTGGTCCAGGCCGGGTTGGCCCACCAATATATGAGTCCGGTAACAGCCCGCATGAAAAAAAACCCGCCCCGCTACGGGTTCCGGGCCGGTTCTGGGTCGGCCCACAAATTTTGGACTACAACCTAGGCCCACCCGCTGACCCATCCTGGTCCGAGCCCATGCAGGTCACGGGTCGCAGTTTGTTCCGATTTGGCCCGTATTATTGTATAAATAAAATTATAAAAATATAGAATTTTTCATATTTATAGCAAAAAAAATATCTTTTTTTTGTTAAATGTAACCTAAGAATTGAAAAAAATGATAAATTCATATTTTTACCAATAAATATTTACATAGAATTCAAATTTAATGTTACATAAATTATTTAAAATTTTGCAAAGTTAAATTTAATTTAACTAACTAACAACTAAATGCATTTCTAATTACTATTATCAAATTTTTCTAGCATA